CACTTCGTACTCGATTTATTTTTGTATAGGAAATCAGGCCCTTTCGTCTTGCACGATCGTAATACTCTAATCTTCTCGACTACTTCAATCTTAAAACTATTTAGTTTCACTGGATTGCGTATAACTACCAACATCAAAATACTAACATTCACGGACGACACGGCTGTACTAGTCAGGTGACACTGTAGATCGGCTTCTTTGGTCTCTATTATAGTAACGTGGATAAAGCGCAACAAGCAGAAAAGGTCGGAAAACTTGAATAGGCCTGTAGCGGCACTCGACAACAAAACTTTCCAACGGTATCACCGAAGCGCAAGTGCCGACAGGCCTAATAAGCCATCGATATCAGTAAGGTCCTTCCGCCGAATATTTGGAAGAAGGCGTAGGTGGCAACGATTGCGGACGCGTAACGAACACGTGCGTAGGAGGGATATTGACGGATGACAAAAGACACGAATCGGATCAACAAAACAGTTGAGTTGTAACCGAGGGGAGAGAATCGTCAGTTGGAATCGGGAGTTGTACGTAGAGTCGAAATCGAGAATGGTACGTAAAGAATCGAAAGCGAGAATTGTTAATAAATATACTAACCACCACCGAGTATTTCTTTGGTACCCTACACGTCCTACTCCAAAATCACCTCAGGGCTGACGGCCATCAATATATTTCGGCACCGCAGCCGTTGATCCTCAGTTAGCCACCGAAGAGTCAAGAGTCGTCAACATCAACCAAGAGTCGTTATATCACGCACTGTCCAAACATTCTTAACCGTCACTCTGTTGAATTCACATATTAAATGTCTGAATTTTTCTTACCTTGTTCGTGAAACGTTTAAACCGTTAAACGTTTAAACCGAAATCACTCGAAGGACGAAGGAAACGATCAGTGATTTCTTAATTTCAGTACTCCCCGTGCCTTCGACGTAACACAAGCACTCTAATCCAAAAACAGCAGTCATGTTACTACCAGAATGTATCAGAAAAATAGAAAAATGACTGCAAGATAAAAGCAAACCTCAATCGATTTAACCACGTTACATCTACAATACGAAAGCGGAAGCCACCTAATATACAAATAAATGGCATGCACATAACACAAACAAAGCATGTTAAATACTAAGACTCCACTTAGATTTTCCCTTACATATGTTACAGTCAGTCGACTTTGCTTTCCGAGATATTAACAAAAATTTCAGTTCAATTTACGTTGCGACTATATTTCATTCTGACATAGATGGAAACTGTGAGGTTTCTTGCATATATATACAACATATGCTGTATTATATATACCATATATATATATATATATATATATATATATATGGTATATATAATACAGCATATGTTGTATATATATGCAAGAAACCTCACAGTTTCCATCTATGTCAGAATGAAATATAGTCGCAACGTAAATTGAACTGAAATTTTTGTTAATATCTCGGAAAGCAAAGTCGACTGACTGTAACATATGTAAGGGAAAATCTAAGTGGAGTCTTAGTATTTAACATGCTTTGTTTGTGTTATGTGCATGCCATTTATTTGTATATTAGGTGGCTTCCGCTTTCGTATTGTAGATGTAACGTGGTTAAATCGATTGAGGTTTGCTTTTATCTTGCAGTCATTTTTCTATTTTTCTGATACATTCTGGTAGTAACATGACTGCTGTTTTTGGATTAGAGTGCTTGTGTTACGTCGAAGGCACGGGGAGTACTGAAATTAAGAAATCACTGATCGTTTCCTTCGTCCTTCGAGTGATTTCGGTTTAAACGTTTAACGGTTTAAACGTTTCACGAACAAGGTAAGAAAAATTCAGACATTTAATATGTGAATTCAACAGAGTGACGGTTAAGAATGTTTGGACAGTGCGTGATATAACGACTCTTGGTTGATGACTCTTGACTCTTCGGTGGCTAACTGAGGATCAACGTCTGCGGTGGCGAAATATATTGATGGCCGTCAGCCCTGAGGTGATTTTGGCGTAGGACGTGTAGGGTACCAAAGAAATACTCGGTGGTGTTTAACAGTATATTTATTAATAATTCTCGCTTTCGACTCTTTATGTACCATTCTTGATTTCGACTCTACGTACAACTCCCGATTCCAACTGACGATTCTCTCCCCTCGGTTACAACTCAACTGTTTTGTTGATCCGATTCGTGTCTTTTGTCATCCGTCAATATCCCTCCTACGCATGCTAATGTAATTATTACAGAGTTTAACAAGTAATAGCGGCGATTAGATAATCAATGAATTTAGGTTCGATAACGAATCCACGGTCAACGGGATGACGTATGCGATTTCTGCCACAGTCTAAGTCGAACTTAACTTACTGATCCACGATTCGGGTATGTCTCAACGTACTTGTCCACAGCACAAGTAGAACTTATCTGACTGAATCTCAGTCCAAATGGAACTGCCCTTGAATACTCCTCTTCGTACCTTTATATACTCCTCTCCGTACCTTTCTGTACCCCATGGGTCGATCTTTGTGTTTTTTAAGGAGAGCTATATAATTGTACCATACCTCTGCTATGACCCGTTATGTCACTTCGAGTCCAAACCCACCGTCATAAATCTCGGGCCAATCTTTGTTATTCCATACCTCTGTTAGGTACACGTCTCTCCCGTAATCGTGACTACGTCCAGTGACCCGTTATCACTTCGAGCCCAAGCCCACAAACCTCGGGCCTCCATAACATTACAACTATTTTTCAGTTTTATTATTGAAGTGTAGCTATAATAAAAGTTTGAACTAAAATATTGGGGACCTTCCCAAACATTTCAAAAGAAAGGCCCCGATGTCCTTTCATCTCCGACATATATTATATATGCTACATATTCAGATAATGTATGTCGGAGATGAAAGGACATCGGAGCCTTCCCTCTGGAACTTCGGGAAAATCCATTAACACAGTAATTTAGATTCTACCTCAGGTGTAATTAAACAATTGTCGCCATTCAAATCGATTGTATTTGAGCGAGATTTATGATAATGAGCTTGGGCTCGAGGCGACAATCAGTCGCCTAACGTAGCCGCGGTCAGGAGACGAACGTTTTTACCTAACAGAGGTATGGAGTAATTCTATAGCTCTCCTTAAAAGAAATATTTGCAGCGGCACGCGACAGTAAACATCCCAATGGTTTCTGTGATTTGTGTTGCTTTTGAATAATTAGCTGTGTGAGATGGCAGCTTCGCGTACATTAATCATCTTCAACCATTATTATGCCATCTTTGTTAATGAAAGGACTTAACGATAATAATTTATTATTTCTACTCACGGTAGAGTTTTTCATCAATGTATTGAGTGTTCATTATGAAGCGCTGCTAGTTGTAGTAACTTAATGATCGCAAAGAACGATGTACGGTATTTTTTCCGTAATTGGTCGAAAATCGAGACTCCACGGCGATAAATTATCGCGTACAAAACTCGATCGTATATAATTACATGCAAAATACGTTGAGTCTGTGTCACCTGCTAGCGTGATTTTTCCATTTGTAAGGAGGTCCTAAGGCACCGACAAGATTATCCATTTCAGATATTTTCTGAACTGTCGCGTCTGCAAGGTAGATATCGACTGCTAAACCGTTGTGTTGCTAAACCGTTTCAGACATCATTGATGATTAAAAATGTTAAATTGTGTAACAATTATGGCGTGAGATTATTTTGGTTATTGCCAGGTGGTTTGGTTCGAATGCCATTTCTTTGGTAACGATAACGAGTATAGATAGCTTTTGTGCTTTTGAACCTAATTTTCTGTGCAGTCGTTAAATATGTTTGAAAACTGCAGTCTACTAACAACATGCATTCTTACGTTTGACCTTGATTTTCTAGAATGTTAACCCTAACCTTACCCAGGCCCGGTCAAATGACCGGTTTCAAAATTTGATTTAAAATTGCACATTCATTGTTATTTTTTTTGTTCATCTAACTTTATGGAAATTCATATATCATCTGATTAATCAGATTGTCAATTTTTATTAATGCAAGAATGATAAAACAGTAGAAAAATTAGAAAATTCTAATACAGAAACGAAAAAATTCCCTCTTGTGAAACATCCTGTGTTTTACAATATTAACCCACTACGCGCCAGGGCAATTTGCTGCTGAAGTCACGTCGAAGACGGTTAGACGAGGTTAGGCTCCTTTAGTTTTTCTATTGCTAATTGATGGCTCTGTGACATTCCTCCCTTCTTAGCTTTGTTTTGCTCTGTTAAAGCGTGTGACTCTGGTGGTTCGTCTAGGTTGAATGGTCCATTTATCTTCGTTGTCAGTTGTGTTTTGGAGAGTCACTGTCTACTAGATTACCACAGATGTATTCAAGGGTCGAAGTTATTAATATTACGGCCTTCTTTCTGGATAGTAAAGTTGTAATCTGTTGCCATGGATTATTTGCGTTTGATATTCAATAAAATAGGTGGATCGATTGGATAAAAGAATTTCTGTTGGTCCCAGCCATTCGTGGTCTCGTTAGTGAACTACATACTCGTTATGTTTCAATAACTTTTCGTGTCTGATCGCTCTGATATCGCCTTTTGTTCCATTCGGTTATTTGCCTTGCTTTCACTATATATGCGCTTTATGTCGATTTTTGCAGAGGTTAAACAATTGTTCTTTAATTAAGCTGGGCTGTAGTTGATATTGAGATTGGCATGTTAGCTTGTCGCCCAAATGTTCGTTCAAATGAGGTATGGTCCCGTCGTTTCGTGTACTGAAGTATTATATCTCATACATATTAGATTTAGGTTTTTGTTCCAGTCGTTTTGTCGCACAGTCGTGCAAGTTTGAATAAGGTCTGAGGTGTATGTGATGTCCGTGACGATTGGAGATGCTGGTTGTAGATGTCGCTGCTGGAGTACTGCTATTTTTCTTCTAATTTAGATGCGTGGAAGAAAAATAGGATTACGGGCGCCGGGATTCGAACCCGGGTCCCGAACGTTCGTAACTTAAGGCGCCAACCACTGCGCCACCGTCATCCGGTTGAAGTTAGTATCGAGTGGCGAAGTTTGTTGTCGAGTGCTGCCACAGGTCTTTTACCACAGCATATGTCCGTTAGATCGCGGGTGGAAAGATGGTAGTTTTTATGTGTCGTATCTCGAACATTCGTTCAAATGTATTTATCGATTTACACACGAAATTCCGTCCCATATACCACAGGATACTTTCAGGTGCAGAAAATATGTATGCGTAGTGATCCAAAATTCCGTTAATGGTCGACTTGGCTGTTTGGCCTTTCAAAGGGAGAGAATAAGGTATTTGGTCAATTGGATAGACAGGATAAATTGATTCCCTTGTTTGGTTTTTGTGAGAGATCCGAATATGTCCATTGCGACTTTGTTATTTGGCTTGACGGATGTGTCAGTTATTACTGTTAGCTCTTTTGCTTTGATACGTTTTCTCGTTGACAATTTCGTGTGATTCGGCAACGATCTCTGACGCAGCTACTAAAGTTCGGTGTTCCACTGATTTCCCTGTCGCTTCGATCTGATATATAGTGTCGGCTGCAGTGTTATCTAGCCCCTTTATATAGCGGATGTTGGCCGTGAATTGTCCAATATAGGACAAAGGTGATGGAATTGTCGCGGCAAACACTTGTCGAGATATTGATTGAATGCGTATGTAAGGTGTTTGTGATCTCTATAAATCGCAAAGTCTGTCCCTTCGACGGCGTGTCTAAAGCGTTTAACCGCGGTGTACATCGCGAGTAGTTCACGATCATACGCGCTAACTTCCGCTGCGCCGGGGTCAAGGATTTCATAAGGAATCCTAACGGTTGTCATATATCGTTGACGTGTTGTTGCAGGACTGTTTCCATCGCATAATCGGATGCGCTAGAACACGTTTTGGTTCGCTAAAACTGTCTCGAATTTGCTCCGACCATTCGATGGGCACGTCGCCCTCTTTCGTACCTTTTAACAGGTCGTTAAATAGTCGTCGATTTGCTGCGTGCTCCTGTATGAAACGTCGGTAGAAGTTGATCGTTTTGAGGTACCTTCGCAGATAATGGCGTCAACATGATTCAGCTAGCGGTGTTATCTCGTCAGCGGTTACACTGTATCCTAAAAATGTTATTGAACCTGAAATGTATATGAATCTTCGATATGTCTGTGTCACATTTCAAAATCCGAACGAGGTATGAATTGCAGCGACCAATCTGAAAGATGATCGAGATCGTTGTTTTTCGACGTCGTCGGGAGCTACCTGAATTTCATGATACACGTGGACGAGATCGATTTTCGAGAAGATGCGCTTATTATGTGGTCGCTGTGCAAAATCTGCCATGCGCCGTGGCAAATATCGGGTACGTTGTGAGCGTTCAGCTCACTGGTAGTCGCCACAGATTGTAGGCCTCCGCCTTTTTTGGGAACGACATGCAACGGTGATGCCTATGGACAATTCGACGGTCTAATCACTCCTTGCTCTATCATCATCTCGAATTCTACTTTCATCTGTTGAACTGGTCGGGGGCGAGACGTGATTGAGATTTGCAGTTGACGGGAGATCCTGACGTCGTCTTCACGTGTTGTTCCAGACCGCGCCGTGGTATACTTCTACCGAAAAGGGACGGCCGGGATAGGTCCAAGAATTTCGGCCGAACTTGATAGTAGGTTTTTTTCGCCGATTATCGTCTTTATCAATGATACGGGGACTTGGCCGCGTATCCCATTGATGATAATTGCGTTGTCGTGTAAAACAACAGTCAGTCTCGCGAGTTGACGAGCAACCTATAGCAACTCAAAAAGTTCTTGCCGATGATGAAAGTTTGATTGTCAGCTAGAACAAAACGCCATTTGAAAGCTCGCCTGAGCGACAGGTTCAGGTTAATCATAATGATACCGTATGTCACGATTTGCTTTTCGTTAGCCGAGAACAGTTCCTAATCGTTTCCGATCGGGGGTCTGCGTAATCAGTTTTGCAAGTACACACATATATCGCGTGTGTCCATAAGGAAGGAAATCCTCGAACTCAAGTGTGTGATAAATATACGGCGGGATACAGAACCGTCTTCGTGCGTCGCGTTCACGGACGGCTGTTCCCGTGACTCTAGGTGCATAGGCAGTGACACTTTTTTGCGTGGTCTTGGAACGTCGCGTGGCGGTAGCAGAGGCCGGGCTGCCGCAGTCTTTCTCTCGAATACGATCTACGACGAATCCTGCTTCTTCGCCGTGTAGGGCGACCATTGCCGAAACTCAGCGTGCTTATTTGCGCCCACAGTTGAATAATTTGTTCATTCAACGCATTGTTGCGCCCAACCTATCGTTCGCTTGCTCTAGTGTTTTGTATTCGTTCGCGTAGCTTACTGACCGCTGCAATTCGGGATGTGCCCGTTCGAGTCTAATGGACCCTGTCCGCCAGCTCCGTCAGGGCTTTCGGCTTGGAATCCGTCGCGACGGCTAGGACTAACTGTACGTCTACCGGCAGGTGGATCTTCCAAGGTGTCAGAACGAACTCGTCTGAGACCATAAGGGATAGTTTCTTCAGGTGACGGTAATACTGGGACGACATCCAGTCTCCGATTTCCTCGGTCTCGAGCAATTTTTTCATTTCTGTACCGTCGGAATCGGCCAGTCGTTTAACTAGCTCGCTTTTAATTCGTTCGTAGCGTCCCGTCTCCGGCTGATCGACCACTATATCCTTCACTTGAGCCAGGATTGTTTCATCTAGGTTCCCGATAGTAGCAGAATACTTCAGCTCGTCACTCGCGCTACGAGCGAACTTAAAGTACGTTTCTAACGTGACGTACCACAGCGCCACCCTATGCAGCCAAAACATCTGTATGCGGTGTCGTTGCACTGCATCAACTCTGTCGGCGGCATTCGACGCAGGTATTTGCTCGCTCGCTCGCTCTTTCCATTGCACAAACGCTCCCAATTTGCGGCAATCGAGGTCTCCGTGGCGCTATCACTTTCACCTCTTTCACGGAATTTTCCTTTGATGTATTGGGTTGAAGTCGGAGTTTGACCAGGTCCTATCTGATGTTTTGAAACGATAATATAATCTCGTGTAGAGTTAATTTGTTGTTAGTGACGTTGTAGTGACTTTGTAAGGAATGGAATTCGGAGTATTCCATCTTCGATTAGACGAAAGTGGTTAGAGACTACGTTGAATTGATAGTTTTCTTTTAGCATGGTCAGATAGCAAATTTTGTTGCTGGCGGGTTCGTCACTGGGGAAGCTCTTTGGGAAAGAGGTTTTGTCGTTTGGTGGCGCTTTTTCTTTTATGAGGTTTATTCTTGTTCCGATATCGACGAGGAAGAAGGCTCCTCTCCATCCCTTCGTTGCAATACAATTGACAGTAATCTTCCGGTGGTGGTGCAGTTGACTTTAAATATGTTGCTTCTGAATTCCTCTATTGTTTGGGTCACTCGCGGTGGGATCTTTCCATTGTGGGTGAATCGAAAATTTCGAGAATAACAGCTCTCGGTTGAGCGTCCGATCCATAAACACTTGGAACACATTAGTTTCGTTCGTCCATTCGGAGGGTCACTATTTACGTATTCAAATTTTCTTTCGGCCTCATTCAGTTTGCGTGATGCCAGTGTTATGGCTGGTTCCCGTGCTCTTTGTTTCTTTCTGATATGTAGCTCCATTTCCGACGCGAGGTTCTGTGCTTTGACCAGTATATCTGGTTGACTTGGGATAACTTATTATCCGATGTCTTCTTTGAGGTTCACGACATATGTTTTAATAGAGTCGTTTCTCTCGCCTTCTATACCGATTCTTGTGCTTACAGGTTTTGAACGTTTGATTAGAATGACATAAATTAATTCGTTTAATTGTTGTCTGAAGCGCATATTCCATGATTGTACGCTTTCCGTGTTTGCTTGTCTAATCGTTCTAAGTTTGTAGTGATAACTGGTTACTGTATTTGGTATTGAAAGGTTTTGCCTCTGAGTAACGTATATATCTTCGCAGTTTTCTATTACCATGAAGGAGATACTTCTTTTCGCACTTTTATTTTCTTGTAAGATAGTAATTTTAAAAATAATGGTTTTCGTAGCATTGGCTTCTGATGTATCTGACATTGTTTATGTCTCTTCGTTAACAAGGTTTCGATTTATTCGTTGGTAGCTTTTGCAGGCAGCTCGCCAATTTCTTGTTGGTATTGCTGCTAATGGGAAGCATTCTGTTGAGTTCATGATTTCGTGTCTTTCGCGATTTGCGTCTCCTATTTTGTGTTTTTCTTTGCTTTTACCTTCTACTTTCTTTCTTTTTGTTCCTGTTATAAAGGTTGGCTGATATAACTAGTTTTCTTATTTGTTTTTGATCTTCAAAGAAATAGAATACTCGAAGAAATATATGAATTGATGTAAAAATAAGTTGTATTTGCATACCTTCAAAAAAGTGGCTATGAGGTTCCGTCATGTACGTGTGCACTTGGATAGCGAGGATGAAGTGGGCGGAACTTTTTAAATTAATTTTTTTCAAACTGAAGCTTTGCATTTAAAAATTATAATGTTACATTTTCGACACACTGTGTGCAAGAAATAAATACAATTGGTACCACCCAATTGAGAACTTAAATCCGCAGGAAGCTTCCCGTGTCTTCGACCTAACAAATTTGGCCATCCCTCCCAGGATACTCGTCATCCTCAAGGGGAAAACTTCCAACCAACTCTACGGACGTTTGGCAACCGAAGAACTATGGTCATCCCAGTTGAAGACACGAGTATTCTACGAGCCCAGGTAATGTACCAAACTGGCTTTCATAAGCCATAGAAATCGAAGACCTACGATTCTACGAGTTCTATGAAAAACCCTGGCGAAATACTATTAAAAGCTGTCAACGTATAAGTCGAAACCTTGTGACGCAGACACGCTGTTCGTGTAGAAGACTTTATAAAGAACGTCAGATACGCCAAAAGCCAATGCTACCAAAAACCATTGCTTCTAAAATTAATTCTTGTGAAGCAAATAATTGAAAGTGAGAAAAGAAGGAATAGAAAACGGAGCACAAAGGCAAAAAAAATCTATATGGAGCACAAAGGCAAAACGTTTCAATCCCAAATACAGTGACCAGTTGCCGCGACAAACTTAGAACGACTAGACAAGCAAACACGGAAAGCGTACAAGCAGCTGTAAGCAGCAAAATCGCTACAAAAGAAGAGAAAACCAAAGCAATAAAAGCATACATCATGAACCTCAAAGAGGACATCGGACAATAAGTTATCCCAAATCAACAAGATACGCTGGTCAAAGCCCAGAACCCCACATCGGAAATGGAGCTATATATCAGAGAAGAAGAAGGTGCACGACGACCAGCGATAACACTGGCATCACGCAAACCGAACGAAGCTCAATGAAGATTCGAACACGTAAATAACGAATGGACGAACGAAACTAATATGTCCCAAGTGTTACGGATCGGACACTCGAACGAGAACTGTTCACACGGCATGGAAAGATCGCATGCAAGTGAACCAAACAGTAGAGGAACCCAGAAGCAACGTACCTAGAGTAAATTGCACCACAGAAAGATTACTGGCAATTTTATTGCAACGAGAAGATGAAGAGGAGCCACATTCCTCATCGACAGCGGAGTAGTAATAAACCTCATAAAGGGAGAAGTCCCACTAAACGACAACCTAAACCTCTAACCTAAAGAGTTTCCTAATGGGCAATGACGAACACACCAGCTATAAAATTTGCAACCTGACCATGCGCAAGAGAAATTATCAATTCGACATAGTCCCTAACAACTTTCCTCTAATCCAAGATGAAATACTCCGAAGCTATTCCTTACAAAGTATCAGTACAACGTCGCAAACAACGCACAATCTGTATACGAGATTATATAACCATCTCAGAACACCAGACAGAGCAAGGTCAAACTCCGATTTCAAGCTAATACATTGAAGGACAGCCCACACTAATATGTTTAGTCAACACCGGTAAGCAAATCTGTCACGTTACAAACGAAATAGAAAAACCTGATAAACTAAATCGAATGAATAAATTTGCACAATTCGTACTCTCGAGAAAACCCTTATCAACTACCTAGACGTTTGGCCGCATAGGTTTGAAACGTACCTTAAGTTTTCGCGTAACGCGAGTCACAAATTCAAGTACCTTATCATTGTCGCGAACCTAGATGAAACAATCCTAGCTCAGGTGGAGGATATAGTGGTCGATCCGCCGGAGACGGGACGCTATGAACGCATTAAAAGCGAGCTGATTAAAGGACTGGCCAATTCCGACGGTATAAAAATGAGAAAATTTCTCGAGAGCGAGGAAATCGGAGACCGAATGCCGTTCCAGTTCTACCGCGACTTGAAGCAAATAGCCATCCCAATGCTCTTATACCAGCTTGTCCTGACGCTTTGGCAGAACCGCCTGCAAGCAGAGACATAGCTGATACCAGTCGCCGCGACGGAATCCAACCGAAAGGACTGACAGCGTTGACGAACTGTATCCATGAGACCCGAGCAGGCACATCCCGAATGACAGCGGTAAGCGAGACACGAGAACGAATACCAAACGACAGAGAAAGCGAATCATGGGCCAGGAGCAGCAATGCGTTGAACGAACAAATTATCCAACTGCGGGCCCATATAAGCGCGTTGATTTTCGGCAATGGCACTTCACGATGACGAAGCAGGAACCGTCGTAGATCGTATTCGAAGAAAAGACTGCATCTGTCCGGCCTCTGTTACAGCCACGTAACGATGCAAAATCGCGCAAAGAGGTGTCGTTCCCCGAGCACTTGGAATCACGGAAGCAGCCGTGAATGCGGCACGCGAAGACGGTTCTGTATCCCGCCGATATTCGTCACAAACGAGAGTCTGAGGATTCCCCCCTTGTGGAGACAGGCGCCGATATATGTGCGCACTAGCAGAGCAGATCACGCACACCCTCGATCAGAAGCGAGTATGAACTCGTGGCCAACAGAAAACAAAAACCGACATACAGTCACATCGTGGTTAATTTGAACCTGTCCCTCGGACGAGCTTTCAAATGGCGTTTTGTTCTAGCTGATAATCAAACTCTCATTATCGACATGGACTTTTTGAGTTGCTATGGGCTGCAAGTGAAGTCACGAGACAAACGATTGTCTACACGATAACACAATTGTCATCAATATTATACGCGGCCAAGGCCCACGTAGCGTCAATGAAGACGATAATCCGCGAATAAACCTACTAAAAATTCGATCGAAGTTCTCGGAACTAACTCAGGCGTCCCTTTTCGGAAGAAGTACAGAGCGGCACGGTGTGGAACACCACATCAAGACGACGCCATGATCACCATCAATAACAAACTTCAACGAAGCCTCGCTCCTGACCAGTTCAACAGATGGAATTCGAGATGATGATAGAGTAAGGAGCGATTAGGCCGTCGAACTGTCCATGGGCATCGTCCTTACTCGTCGTGCCCAAAAAAGGCGGAGGCGTAGGATTTGTGACGATTACCGAACGCTAAACGCTCACAACATGCCCCATAGGTATTTGCCACCATACATCGAAGATTTCGCACAGAAACGTATAATAAGCACGTCTTCTTAAAAATCGAACTTGTACATGCGTATCGTGAAATTCCGGTAGCTCCCGAGGTCATCGAAGAAACAACGATCACGACCTCGTTCAGATTGTTCGAAGCAGTTAATACCATGTTCAGATTTCGAAATGCGGCACAAACGTATCGGAGCTTTAGATTTCGTTTACGCTTATATCGACGATCTTCTGATCGCTTCGGAACACGAAGAACAACACCGCCGACACTTTCAAACTTTGTTCAAACGCTTAGACGAGTACACCTTAGTGATAAATCCTGCGAAATGTGAATGTGACATATGGCAAAATCACATTTTTAGAATACATCGTAACCACCAACGGGATAAAACCGCTAGTCCAACCTTGTTCACGCCATTTTCGAAGTACCGCATCCTGACAAACATCTGCAAAGACACCTCGAAATAATCAACTTCTACCGACGTTTCATACAGGAGCACACAGCAAATTTACAACCATTCAACGACCTGTTAAAAGGTGCGAAAGAGGACAACACGCCCATCGAATCAGATCACAAACCCCTTACGTGCGCGTTCAATCAAAATGTCGACAAGTGTTTGCCGCGACAATTCCGTCACTTGACTATATTGGACAATTCACGACCAACATCCGCTAGATAACAATGTAGCCGACACTTTGTCTCGGATCGAAGCGATAGGGAAATCGGTAAATCACCGAATTTTAGAACACCGCGCCAGAGAACATTGCCGAGTTACGCGAAATTGTCAACGAGAGGACCTGGACCGTATAACCCAACCCAACCCAAGTGAGAAAATCACAATGGACATATTCGGATTTCTCAGGAAAACCAAACAAGGTAATCAATTTATCCTGTCTATCCAATGATCAAATACCTCATTCTCTTCCTTTAAAAGGCCAATCAGCCAAGTCGATCATTAACCAAATTTTGGATCACTATGCTTAAATATCTTCCACACCTAAAAGTATCCTGTCGAATATGGGACGGAATTTCGTATGTAAATCGATAAATATATTTGAACAAACGTTCTAGATCTGAGACATAAAAGCTACTTCTTTCCACCCGCGATCTAACGGATCCCTCGAACGAACACATGCTGTGATAAAAGACCTTATTCGAACTTACACGACCGACCGGCAAAGCAACTGGGACGAAAACCTAAAACTAATATGTATGGTGTTACGTTTTGTCTGGCTCGTTTTGGTTGCGTTGCCGTTAATTTTTGAATTTAGATTAAGTTGTAGTATTGTCTGTTATTTAATGCGATTTGAAATTAAACTTCACGTTTCGGCTAACCTGCTATGCGCAGGAGTACTGGCACGGGAGAGGATTAAAGTCGGTGAAAATAAATGTTCGCTTAATCCTGCTATATTATTAGACAAATATTCTTCACAAAAAAAATGTTTATTCGTATTCTAATTGGATATTGTCAGAATAGTCGTTGAAATTTCGAATGCTCGGAGTTACAATCGTTCGCAATACGTTTCGCTCTTATTAATTACAAGATTTTAATTTCGATAGATTTTCAATAGTTTACAAATTGACAAATACAAACACGTCGATTAACAAGACTAAGAAGAATTGGAAACTAATAAAACAAAGAACTAAAAGCCAAAGAACTAAAGGACTAAAGAACCTAAAAGCTGAGAGCAAAACTAAGAGCTAAAGGAATTAACAGCTGAAAACTAAGAAACTGAAGAATTAAAAACAAAGGAATTGAGAAATTAAGAGCTAGAGGAATTAAGAATTAATCGCTATAAACAAGAAATTACTTGCCAGGAAATGGTAACTGATCGCCAAGAACCAAGGAGTTAATCACCAAGAACTGAGAAAACTAGTCACCCAAAACTGAGGAATTAACTACTCTAAAACTAAGGAATTATTACCGCTTCTTCTATGCCGCTACGCTTATTTATATTTAGGTCTACCGTGGAGGGGTTGTCATGTGACGGGTTATTCCGTGGGAGTTGTGAGGTTCGAATTTGGTTTATATACAAATTGTTAAAATTTATTTAAATTTCAAATTGGAACGCTCACTCGCGCTATTGGTAGTTTTATCCTACGTTACGGCGCGTGCGCAGCGCGGGACGTGACAATGGACATTAACATTATAACATTAACAATTCTAACCCTTGAGTACATCAATGGCAATCTAGTAGACAGTCACTCTCCAAAACACCACCGAAAACGAAGATAAATGGATCATTCGACCTAGACGATCTACTGGAGCCACACGCTTTTACGGAGCAAAGCGTAGCTAAAAAGGGGGGTATTAAATTAGCATTACAAAAACCAGGGGGATAGAGCCCTAAGGAACATCCTGCATGCCGTCGAAACAACAACGTTGTTCGACCGTTCCCAGAGAGACGTGATCGCGAGGAAGCACGCCAACGGGAGCTGTAGATTCCCGTTAGGATTAGGCAATCGACGACGTGAAATAATCGATCTCCTATCCTCGTTTAGGATAATAAAGGGGTGGTTGAATTGATGATAACACTGAGGTAACAGATTACAATATACAGTTCATTCCAACAACTTTATAGACAAGATAGTTACGCTCGGTGCGTATAGGTATAAGTTAACTAGATGATTGAACTAAGACATAAACAATGAGTTAAGATTGAGAATGAGCAGAGTACGCAATATAAGTTAACTAGATGATTGAACTAAGTGTAGAAACCCGATCAAGAGATTGACTGAATTAAGGATGGAAAGTCAGTCTAGAGACGTTGACTGATCTAAAAATGTAAGACCAGTGAAGTTCGGTCACGATGCGGTGGTGAAGGAAAACTAGTGATGGGTGTATCTAGCACACGGGACCATCGAATCGTTGCTCCTGATTGGATAAGAAAAAGGTTGGTGGGTAAGGAAGGGTTCTAGCCGCGCCTGAGACGTCAAACGTGAGAAAAACCAACTTTCCGGTATCTTCACGTAGTAGACAGTAAATTTACGGAACACTTGAAATAAAAGATACTTGCTTGGTCTGAACCTTGCTCGTGAAAAGTTTAAACCTACGCAAAATCATTCGAACGCCGCGAGGAAACGACCAATGTTTTCTTAGTTTCTCTACTCCCCGCGCCTTCGACGTAACACACTCGTTTAAATCCGATTACGAAAGTTAAGCAACGCCAAGCGCGCATTGTACTACTTAGATGGGTGAACGCTTGGAACGCTGGAACATCAGAGACAAATAAGAGAACCAAACTATTTTAGCCAACGCTCATACCGTGCTGAATGGCCTCGTTCTCGTCTGAAGGCATTTTGAGAGATAGAATAGAGTTTGGTTCATTTGATGTAAAAATTTGATTTCTCTGTAGTCATGCTAGCGGAGTCCTTTTTAGAGATATTTTTTATTTTGTTTTCCCAGTGTTGATTTATAGAGCTTGCGTATTCTTGCTTTAGACACAACTGTATTTTGTGCAAAAAGTACTTTAATTATTCTAAATCTTCTCTTTTATCGTAGGAATAGTTTTATTTTACATTGTTTATTTTGCATAGTATGAAGCTTTTGCCTCGTAATTTTTTTTTTTTATTATTGATATACAGCTCGAAAGTCGACTTTTGTTTTATTTCTAGTACGAATTCTTGAAGGGCGGTTTGTACCAGCTGAAAACTAAGAAACTGAAGAATTAAAAACAAAGGAATTGAGAAATTAAGAGCTAGAGGAATTAAGAATTAATCGCTATAAACAAGAAATTACTTGCCAGGAAATGGTAACTGATCGCCAAGAACCAAGGAGTTAATCACCAAGAACTGAGAAAACTAGTCACCCAAAACTGAGGAATTAACTACTCTAAAACTAAGGAATTATTACCGCTTCTTCTATGCCGCTACGCTTATTTATATTTAGGTCTACCGTGGAGGGGTTGTCATGTGACGGGTTATTGGTATTACAGGACTATTACCTCATATTATATGATTCTCATTTTTGCACACAGATATTTTTCTTTAAATATTCTATTTTTTTTAACATCTATTTCAGCTACCTCTCATACCGCGCTGAATGGCCTCGTTCTCGTCTGAAGGCATTTTGAGAGATAGAATAGAGTTTGGTTCATTTGATGTAAAAATTTGATTTCTCTGTAGTCATGCTAGCGGAGTCCTTTTTAGAGATATTTTTTATTTTGTTTTCCCAGTGTTGATTTATAGAGCTTGCGTATTCTTGCTTTAGACACAACTGTATTTTGTGCAAAAAGTACTTTAATTATTCTAAATCTTCTCTTTTATCGTAGGAATAGTTTTATTTTACATTGTTTATTTTGCATAGTATGAAGCTTTTGCCTCGTAATTTTTTTTTTTTATTATTGATATACAGCTCGAAAGTCGACTTTTGTTTTATTTCTAGTACGAATTCTTGAAGGGCGGTTTGTACATGTTTTTCTATTTCGTCTATAAACGAGTCGATTTGCCTCTTTGTTAGGTTGACATTGTTGTGGATATTTAAGTCGCAGTTCTTTTCGAGCTGATTTTGTAATATTTCCTACTTTCTTGTCTTTGTACCTGTACCTGGGTCCGCCACTCCGTGTTTCTAGCGTTAGGAAGTCAGATGTATTTTTGTTTATCTGGAATACGAGAGCGTTATGGTCGCAATCGTAGTCTATGGTTTTGAGCGTGTTAGTTGCCCGTAAATTAAGGAATTGTAATTGTGTGTCTCCAAGGCATATGACTAGGTAACGAGCCTCCTTTTGGTTAAGACTCAATCCTTTCTTCGTGCGTTTTTAATGATTGTTTTAGTTCGTTTAATTGTGTTTGTTTTGCATTTAAGGCTTTGAACATGCTTTCTTTGAAGGTTCGATAAGTTTATTACGTTCAGTTGTGGTATGGTTTTAATTGGGTTTGAATTTTGAATTGCGCGCGGTAATAAATTTGCTTGATGTGGTTGGTTTTCGGAGACTTGGTTTCGGCTTATTCCTTGTCTTAGGATGTCTGAGAACTACGGCATGAATTTGCGGCTTATTTGAGCAACACGTTTGTTTTTGATGCTTTGTATTTGTTGATATTTTCCCAAAGTTTCTTGCAAACTTTCTTCATACAACAAAGACACCCACTCCGAACTTTCCTCCGTAATCACACAAGAACGAACTTTACTTGTTTTCGTAACTACAGAGCAGTCACTTCATCTCTATACGTGTTCTCACGACTACAGAACAGTCAACTTGTTCTCTCGACTTCATCTATATACTGGATCTTTAGACTTGTCACGAACAGTAACATCCAAGTAACAGTCAAATCTCACCAGTAACAGTTAACACCAGCTCGAGTTAAAATACAGTTCAAGGAATAGCAAGTGTCAGAAGTCAAGTCAGCAGAATCGCCAAATAGAAGACAGTCAATCGACAGAAGATACATCATCACAGACGCCAACACGAAACGAGTCTCAGGTCGTACTGATTCATAGTTTGTCATTCCATATACGTAACCTTGTATCACATTGAAGTTGTTGGATCGTTGAAAATATATATTAGCCTGTTCATATCAGCGTTATATTCATCCAACCACGCTTATTATATGAACCGAAATAAAGGATCGACCGATTCGTGGCGTCGATTAGTAAAATTGTAACGGGAATTTACGACTCCCGCTGGCGCGCTTCTTCGAGATCGCATCTCGCCACGAACGATCGAAAGTTCATTCAAATGGAAAGATCCATTTTTGCAGCATTTTCTTTTTGGTTGCTTCTTTCATTCTGCCTATCTTCTTTCTTTCTCTTATTTTCTTGATTCTTTTTATACTGAGCATTATTTATCACTTTTCGTTATTGAATATCACTGTATAAATCGGCAAACTCACTAACAAGTCTTACGCCTGGTATTTTTGGCCAGTGAAGTCTGACCTGCTGGGGGTTCACAACATTCTGACCTGTACCTGGGTCCGCCACTCCGTGTTTCTAGCGTTAGGAAGTCAGATGTATTTTTGTTTATCTGGAATACGAGAGCGTTATGGTCGCAATCGTAGTCTATGGTTTTGAGCGTGTTAGTTGCCCGTAAATTAAGGAACTGTAATTGTGTGTCTCCAAGGCATATGACTAGGTAATGAGCCGCCTTTTGGTTAAGACTCAATCCTTTCTTCGTGCGTTTTTAAAGATTGTTTTAGTTCGTTTAATTGTGTTTGTTTTGCATTTAAGGCTTTGAACATGCTTTCTTTGAAGGTTCGATAAGTTTATTACGTTCAGTTGTGGTATGGTTTTAATTGGGTTTAGATTTTGAATTGCGCGCGGTAATAAATTTGTTTGATGTGGTTGGTTTTCAGAGACTTGGTTTCGGCTTATTCCTTGTCTTAGGATGTCTGAGAACTACGGCGTGAATTTGCGACTTATTTGCGCAACACGTTTGTTATTGATGCTTTGCATTTGTTGATATTTTCCCAAAGTTTTTTGAAAGTTCCACGAGTTTTGAGCATTCTTTATACAAAGCAGGATATCCGTAGTTTTTACAGTTCACGCACTGCACTCAGTCTTTCTTTACCGCGTCTTCTTTTTTTATTTGCACTCGCTTGCTCCGTGCGACTCCATGGAGTTTACATTTGTGACATTGCGTTGTCATTTTTCTGATTCTTTCCCAATTTACCCTAAAGTAACTTAGGCGGTTCATTTTTAGTAGGCTATCCATATTGCTTTGTGGGAATACTTGGATTATGCAAATTGGAAACAATACATTGTTCTCTATTGATCTTTTTGTTGAGAAGCGCCAAACTTTTGTCAATTGGACGTTGCACATCTATAGTTGCAACTCTGCGAATATCTCTGTGTCGGAGAAGCTATTGTTTAGACCCTTTAGTAAGACCGTGTGGCACTTCTCTGATTTGGATGTATATGCGTAAACATTGTCTTAACCGCAATTAGAAATTTTTTCGCTTGGTTAAAGTCTGGTACACTTCGTAGGAATAGCACGTGTTTATCTGCGTGTAATGTGGAATGACTTTTGTATTTAGAGTCTCTTCAATGAGTTTTACTGTCTCCTTCGGGTCTTGGTGGGTAATGTATATTAGAGGCGGTTTGTCTCCATTTGTGGGTGCTGTGGTGTCGGCGTTCTTCCTTGGAAAGGTTAGTGACCTGTCCAGGTTGTGTCTGGCTTCTCGGTAGCGTTGTCCATTTCGCTGGGCTGT